CGCCGCCCACCAGCACGGAGCAGCTGCTGGCCTGGGCCCAGAGCACCTACGGGGGCATCACGTCCTACAGCGAACTGCGGGACCCCCGCCGGGTGCAGCTGCGCCTGGGAGAAGGTGTGTGGGGCTGGGAGCTGGTGCTGGGGGTGGGAGGGATGGACAGGGTGGGCAGTAATGTTCTCCTTGCTTCCGAAGGGTGATAACCCACCGTGGTGATGCACGGTCCCGGGGGAGGTGCTACAGGGACCAAAGCCACCTGGCTTGGAGCATCAGGGCTGGCCCCAAGCACCTCCCCACCCGCCAAGCCAGGTTTGGTTTTGGTGACCCCTTCCTCTGCCTCTGCAGACACTGGCAGCCCCCCAGACTGTGTCCCCCAGGAGCACTTTGATGCTGCCCCGCACCTCGAGACCGAGGTCTTCTTCCATGGGATGAAGGGCTGCTCACGTGGGGATGCCCAGAGCACCAGGGCTGCCCACATCATCCAGCTGCAGCATGAGCCCAGGTACCATGTGGTGTGGGTGGTGGGATCCCCGAGGGGTGGCCCAGGCCCTGGGACAAGTGATGGTATGAAAGGCAGTGGGACAGGTGGTGGCACAGGTCATGCTGGAGATCACCAGAAAAGGATTGGGATATCCCATAGGCAGAGCCCTCCCCCCATCCAATGGGATCCACTGGTGCAGGAGGCTGATGCTGAGGGGGGGGGGGGTCTCGTGGTTTTGCAGGTCCCCTCTCACAGAGGTGAACCTGTCCCTGAGCTGTCCTGAGAGAGTGGAGAGCAACCAGATCCTCATCCTGCAGAGTCGGACCAACCTCACCTGGTCCCTCTCCGTCAACAACTGCCACATCCAGTTCCTGGTAGGGCTGAGCAGGACCTGTCTCTGTCCCCACAGCCCCACCAAGGGGGCTGGTAGCACTGGAGGGTGGCGGGAGGACAGCTGGGGACACTGGGGAGGTGGCAGCCCCCTTGCTGTGAGCCCACCTAACAGGGACAAACCCAGAGGCTGTCCCTCCCTTGACCATCCCCAGCTGTCCCCATCCCCACTCAGCCTCACTCCCCGTAGGTCTCTGGGAACTACAAGATCACTCCCATCTCCTCTCGGCTGCTCCCTGGGGAGCTCCTGCCCGACACGGAGCAGGGCCTGGTGGCCAAAGCCTTCGAGAAGAACTACAGTGTCATTGCCTCCTACTCCACCATCCCCACCAGTGCCCACATCAGCCTGGAGATCCAGGAGCATGGTAAAGCCCCCGGCACCTCTGGGTTGGGTGGGATTGGGGGGTCCCATGGCTCTTGCTCAGCTTTTCTCCCCCCATCTCCCCACCCCAGAGGTGGTCAGGAAGGCGCCCACGACGTCGACTCTCCCAGCAATGTGCTGCGGCTCATGCTCCAGCCCTGGAAGTGCACGGATGAAACCATGGAGATTGTCATTGCCAGGTCCCACCTGGAGGTAAGGCAGAGGGGGTGTGATTGTCCCTGTCATCCAGTGGCATTGCCCAGGGAGGGGGATCACACCTTGCTCCAGGTGCTTGGGGGGCGGGGATGGGATCCCCAGGCAGTGGCTGACCACCAGGTTCTTTTCTTCCAGCCCATCAAGGATGTGGTGAACATGACCCTGAGGGACATCAGCTGCCAGGCAGAGAAAAATGCCACTCACTTCATGCTGAAAACCCCCCTCAGCCACTGCGGCACCTCGCTGGAGGGCAGGGGCCACGCCAACAATGAGGTGAGGGGGGCCCAGCCCCACTGGTGCCCAGTGGAGGCTTCTCCACTGGGACCTCCTTGCTTTTGCACACCTGGAGACATCCCACTGCAGCCCAG